TTTTGATATACTATGGAACGCCATGCAAATAAGTAATATGGAGCGCCAATGGTGCCAAAATCGATTTATTCTTAAGAATTTTAACTGATTAAGACTAAGTTTAGGGACTGGAACCCAGTCTAAGCTGCACCCTGACTAACGAAGTCCTCTATTCATATGCTATTCTATCTTGTACATCCAATAGAAAGCTCAATACAGTATTTGAAAAAAAACATATTTGACCATTTATATAATTAAACACTTGGATTAAGAAATAAATAATATCGGGAACATATGTTCAAAGGTTACAGTAGTTTTAATTGCATATCAGTTGATTTCCTATTATAAATTATTTATGTTTGCATTGCAAATTATTATTGTTATAAATTAGTTATTTATATAATGCAACTGTATAACTCATTATATAAGGTCAATTAAAATAAAATTATAAAGAATCTTTCATCATTGTACGAAAACATTCCAAAAACCCCTATTAAGGGGACAACACGTTTTTGGTAAGTGCGTCTGCTTAATAGGGGTACCCCAGGAAAGAAGAGGGGACAACCTATTAAATAATAAAGGGGGACAATTTTTTGATCCCGAAGATTTTTTATACTTGTACACTTCAGAGGGGATTGTCATAATCAATGACCCGTGAAAGGTCATTGGCTGAATCTGTGCATCCATGTGTTGTGTGAGTTTTTGTATGATGTTTGATGATGATGATCGATGGGGGCAGAAGGCGACCACGCCACTCAAGTAGTGTAGCCTCCTGTGGACTTGGCGTAGGTCTAGCTTAAGCTAGACTTCAATCATGGACTATTATCAACATTTTAATTAATGTTGTAACATAAGTTACAGGTAGGTAGGCTTAGTGTAGGTACACGTAGCTAGACCTAAAAAAAAAACTAGATTCTGCCAGCCCTAGGCCTAAGAAGGAAGGCTAGGGTAGGCCCTGACTGGGGCCTGGCCTAGGCCTAGCCTAGTACTGTAGTAGTAGAGTAGGCCTGGGCCTGCCTCGCTCGAGGATTTGTGGGGTGGGGGGGGGCGCTACTAGGCCTAGGCTAGTCCCTATACCTCCTAGGCCCTACCTGTCCAGATGCCGACCCTCCTGGCCTAGCCTACTCCAGACAGGGCCCCCTATCTATAATCTAGGCTGGGCATACTAGGACTACATACTTGTTCCCAGCAGGCCTGATTGGCCCTAGTAGTACAGTAGGCTAGAGCCTGGCTAGGCTATAAATGATAGCTTTATACGTAGTTAGTAGGCTATGTGGCAGGTCTACTCACATGTACTGTATGACCTAGGCTATGCTAGGGCTTAGGCATAGTAGTAGTACTAGTAGGCCTAGGCCCTACCCTAGTCATGTTCCGCACTACAACAACGTCAACGTGCCCAGTAGTAGTAGTAGCCAGCAGTAGTATTACTAGTCCTATTGCCTAGGCTAGCTAGTCTAGCCTATAGGCTATTGTAGGCGGCCTATGCCTAGCCTAGTTTTTTATGGAAAATTGTAAGAAAAAAAAATGTGAGAAATAGGCCTTTTTCATGAATCGGTAGACATCTTGAAGTGATGACAAACATTGCGAATCAGCGGTGCTTAACCAACAGAAATAAGATAAGCTTTTGGGCTGATTTTCTGACATCATGTTGTTTAAAAAATCATAACTCCATAACAGGGCATCGTATCCAAAAAATGTTTACAGGAAAATGTTCTTGAAAGACCAGTCCACCACTATATGATTGAAAAAAAATAGAACATTTTTTTTGACCTCTGAAATCAAGATTGAAAAAGAAAAGCCTATCTTAGTAGTGTATTAAAATAGGCCAATGCATTACAGTGCAGTAGCATAGGACTTTCGTGTTGTTACTGTTCCAAGTAGCGATAATATACATATTTCTCTTATTACAAAGTACAAGTTATGTTTTATAAAGAGGTATAGTATAGTAAATTATGTTTTTAACACAGGAAACTCTCATATGGTAACTAAAACAATGCTAGTTCAGAGTATTACTAGTACTACAGCACTGTAATGTATATACCTATTTTAATACACTACTGAGATAGGCTTTTATTTTTCAATCTTGATTTCAGAGGTCAAAAAAAATTTTGAATTTTTTTTCAATCATATAGTGGTGTAGACTAGTCTTTTAAGAACATTTTGCTGGAAAATTTTTTTGGATACGACGCCCCGTTATAGAGTTATGATTTTTTAAATAACATGATGTCAAAAAATCTTTTTTAATGCTTATCTTATTTCTGTTGGTTACGCACCGCTGATTCGCAATGTTTGTCATCACTTCAAGATGTTTACCGATTCGTGAAAAAGACCTATTGTTTCAATTTCGTCACTGACACTGTTTGGGACGCGTCATGAAGTGGATCTGCCCCACGGTCGTTCCGTGGCTGAAAGCAACGTAACTTGAAATCTCACTTTTCGAGAAAAATAGAGTTAAAGTTTGCATGTTTGCAACTCGGAAATAAATTGTTGTACACTTCTAAAATTTTGCATGACTAATAATCTATAGACCTATGTTAAAGTTTAATTACAAAACTGTTGGTATATTGCAAAGCTATTAACGATATTCACAGTTACATTGTTTTACCTCGGAAACATGTCAAATGTGGTATTGTCACATGTGCGACAAATTTTTTTAATTTATCATGTGTGTGGCAATCATATGCATTATCTGGCTTGTGCATACAGTATGTCGTCGTTAGGGTTATTGATAAGAAAACACCATCAACCAGTTGATTTTGCTGTACCAAACTCCATCAGATGAAAAAAGTTTTTGGATACCATTCCGAGGTAAAACAGCGTATCTTCATCATAAGTACGTTGTTTTGCCCCATAATCTTTTAAGTTTTATGCTTAAAGATAGGTGGTGTTATCTCCAAAACCACTCATTGCTGAGACCATGAAATTTTCACATATTAATTCAGAAGTGTTTAACATATTCCTAAGTGATAATATCTCAAAATTGTAAAAAAATATGAGTTTATGCTCCTCAAAGTTGGATAGAGAGCATTAACGAAAACAGACAGACTACGGTGTTGGTTGCCACACCTATTTCATCGTTCCGTTAACTGTTAATATGCATATTAACAGTAACAACGAAAGCTACAAAGAATGCTTATCTCCTTTTTATAATGGAGTACGGAACAGTAACACAAGACATGTGAGCAACGTTTAAAAACTAAAAAAAAAAATCTTCCTTCAATGAAAATCAAATGCATTATAAACAGCAAGCCACCTGCTATGCAAAGTGCATAACATCTAACAGGCAAATGCAGATGCAGCGGTCTATGCAGATGAGTGATCCATACAAAAGCAAAACAATAGGGTACACGGCAAAGCATTATTCCGGTCCATGGCACTTTCAAAGACCATGCTGTACGTAAACTTTGTCTAGTCATAGGGATTATTACAATACTCCTCCATTAATGTTCACGCTGTCTTGATTACCAAGGCCTATTTTAGGGTTTTGGTCACGCTCTACAGTAGCTTCACCAAACCACTGAACACCTATTTCGCGGAGTTGAGTTCAAGCATGCATCATATTCATGCTCATCAGTTCACCTACTGGTTATATATTTATAATAATAATAACACTAATATAACGAGTGAGGCTTAGGATATGCCTATCTACTGGCAAATTGCCTATCCTCAAAAAGTTAAAATTCAAGTTCTGCTTTACTAAATAAATAAAGTGGAAATGATTTTAAAATATTTTGGTTGGTATTCATGAATATGAACCTGCAACCTCTTGCTATCAAAGCTGATTTGATACACAGTAATGCATTAAAAATTATAATGATAGGCCTAGCTGATGGTCAGTGAATGCATTAAAGTATGATGAATACATAAAAGGCAAAAAGAAAGATTAGGTTGTCCCTTCCACAACATTTTGGACTAAGCTAAAACACCCTGAAAATCTTGCAGAAGTCCAAAAATGAATATCCATATGCTAATTGTTTTGCCCAAGTTCTATATTATATTTAACTGGGTGTACGTGGTGGACTTTTTTGATAGGAATGAAAGAGGAAAATTTGGACTCTGAAGCCTCATATTTCTTTTCTCTTTAAAAAACCTCTTGAGAAAAAGATTTACTGTTATTTGTCTTGCAACTTGAGTGAGCATTAAAATGGGTCGGACGGCCAAAGGGAATTTGTAAGTTAACACTGAGGGCTGCAATCAGACTTGTGTGCTTCCAGAAACCTTCATGGACTAGCTTTTTATATGACTTCGTGTTCAGTTCTTCTATTACTTTTAACAGGCGATCAGTGTTGGGCCATAAAAAACAAAGATTTCTCGTTAAAGATTATTGGCAGATCGTACATACTGTTTTGCTTGCAATGTTAAATGCATGTTTTTAAAAAAGCATTTTTTTACCCTTAGATCCTCCATCATGTCCTGTCAGTGACAACCCATGTCAAAATAATGCACCTTGTGTTGGTGAGGGCGGTAGTGGATCGTACATATGCCAGTGTCCACAAAATTATGTTGGTCAGAATTGTGAAGAGTTTTACCGTAAGTCTTTTGACAAGTAACTTTCCTCATTCCTCACACATGCATACAATACAATGGTAGTCTATAAATAAATATATAAAGATTTTTCACATTACAGTACATGGGAAGTACATGATGATGATTTATTTAACCAACCAAAACTATGGTGGCAGGTCATGTGACCTTACATTATTATGTTTTTTTTTTATTCCAAAAAGATAAAGTTGAGAAAAAACTATTTATTGATTTTATATAGATTTATAGGACTACATTCGCTATCCTACACGATGTATTATTATGTCCTTTATTCGAACACTGTTATTTACCTTTCTTTGATGATTTATATATAACTTAACAGCTGTCTCTTATACACATCTAGATGTGTATAAGAGACAGATTTAACAGTGTTAACGGCTATCTTGATTTATATTATATGTTCCTATATTGTTTCTAGCCGTACCTATTGTGTAATGGAGTGTATCTGGTGGTATTTGAATCTGTTCAACCATGAAGCCTCCGTAGTCTAATGGTTATTACGCTTGCCTTGGCAGCGAGAGGCCGCAGGTTCGAGTCCCGCCGGAGGCATTTTATTATACAATTTTATTAATTTATTTATAGCATGAATTTGATACTGAGGTAAGTATGGTAATAAATATGGCAAAACTTTATGTAGGCCTAAATTCGTAATTGTCAAACTCATATTAAGAATTCACATTCAAAAGCATGCTGTACAATAAAACATTACAATGATTAAAAGCCCATTTTACAATCTAATATATGAAATATAATTTATATGTAAATTTTGCTCTAAAATGTAATTTAAAAATGAGTGTTAAAAATGTTTAAATTGTTGATGGGGTTCTAAATTGTATAATAATGAATTATTACACAAAGCCGAACTGGTTGAAAATTTCGCTAAAAAAAATATTTTTTTAGAAAAAAAATGCATACTCTAGTAACCATGGGAAAATATTTGCATAAATTTTAGTTGTACGCAAAAGGATTAAAAAAATGAGAAATCGAGACTAATTCTCATAGAAATGTTTTCCACAATTTTCTTTGTTAGGCAAGTTCAAAGGTTGTAGATCGCATCCTCTGCAATGCTCTCACTTTTTTGTATACGTTGTACTTTATACAGTCATACAGTCAAGAAAGTGCACCCTCACTAATGAGATTAGTTTTTGTACTTCACCTCTCGCACACTGCGGTCAATTGAGTACTAGAGATTAGGTTTGTTTGTCAAAATCTCAGTCAGAATCATTTCGTTTCAACAAATTTGAAATAAAGTCAATGAAATATTATATTTTTTAAGTGTCAATACTAGCAACGGAAAATATGTCAGTCGTTTTTAGTCTGATAAGAGAACCTAAATCGAGGTACAGCTAGGCCTAGCCTAGCACTGATGATAGACAATTTTTTCCGGTGCCATCATTTCTTCGCAGACATAGCAAAAAAACCAAACTTCTGTCTTATTTACATCTTTTTCATGTTAAGGAATGTCTAAATTCAGTTAAACTTAAATTTTGTATTATATTTATAAATCTTTAAACATATATAAAAATCAAATTTTTCTTAACTATTGAAATTATTTCTGGGAATGGGTATTTATTAATCACAATTTTAATACCTACCTTGTTTCTGTAACAAGTGTCCCTTCCCCCTACTTGTGCCACAACTGCCAGGTAAGTATCTCACTCATATACTACCAACATCACAATTGATTTTATGTGTTTTTACAGCTCAATAAAGATGTACTGACGTATGCTCCTGGTCATAGAGTTGACTTCAATGCACCCGATCTTGTGGAACTTATGGGTGTCCTCAACACGCCGTATAATTTTACCATTAACGGAGATAGTGTGTGGTTTGACTTTATCACTGACAGAAACATCCCACGGCCTGGTTTCAATATCTCTTTTACTGAAGGTATAACATGGTGTATAACATCAATAATGAACATTAATTATTAATAAGTTCAATTTATAAGATATAATATCAGTAATCATTTGCAAAAATATAAAACATATAGTAGGATTTGTGTAAATTGCATAATACTAATTTTATTATTATTATTATTATTATTATTATTATTATTATTATTATTATTATTATTATTATTGTTATTGTCATTATTATCTAATACTTTGATATACTGCTATAGCATATAGTATTACTGTTACAATTTTTATTGTCGTTATTTATTGTAATTATTAAATTATTACCATTATCATTATTGTTATTATTATAAAATATATTATTAATAAATATAAATTTTGTTTTAAATATGATTAATCATATTTTACTTTTAATAGTTATACTCTTGATGATTGTTTGTATAAGTTGTCTAATGGTCATATCACACACTTTCTTTTCAAGTTTTCAAGTGTATAGTTTTTTGTGTTTCTTTCTTGTAAATGTGACAGTTAATTCTCCATGGGTTGTAGAGAATATATTCTCTTTGACTCACCCTAACCACTTTTTGTCACATAAATTGGGATTGATTAAATAATTTAAAATAAAATGTTGATTCTGAATAACTGAATTTTATTTGTTTGCATTAGACCCAGATGACTGTAACCCTAACCAGTGTTTGAATGGAGCTACATGTCTTGACTTGGTCAATGACTTCCAGTGTATCTGTGCAGCAGGATATGAGGGAACATTTTGTGGAATAAGTAAGAAAATCCTCAACATACGTACATTGCCATCCCCCCCCCCCTTCCAACTTTTTCTATGAAGAAACTAAACAATTCCTCAGCGAGACAAAAAATCTTTGCACATTTTGAGGGAAATGGTTCTGTTCCATATCCAGGATGATAACCTCCTTTGCTTTTCATGATTTTTAAAATTATTTCCTGATTTATTATTTGTATTCCTTTTTATAACTTTCTTTATCTTCATATTTTATAATAAGCGCAAAAGGGCATTTGCATAATTGTGTTTATAAGTATTATAACCCATTGCAACACTGTGCGGCAGTGGTTCAATTTTAATGAAAAGGATGAAACCTTAAAATGTCACAATTATGCATTGTATATTAAAACATTTATTGTATCTTCATCTGTAAAATTACAATTATATTTTTCCTATATAAACAGATATTAACGATTGTAACCCTAACCCGTGTCTGAATAATGGCGCCTGTGTTGATGGGGTGAACAGTTACACCTGTACATGTCCACCTGGATTTACAGGAACCAACTGTCAAATCAGTATGTACATTATTTTAATATTATTAAGGATGATCTTTTTTTTCAATATTTCAATGGCATATTTTAATTGTGTATATTTTAAAAGTACCGTATTGTGCTCGAATATGCGCCTCTCTCAAATAGGCGCCGCAACAAACCTGATTTTTTTGTTACATGCCGCCCTCAAGTAAGCACCGTGGTGAGCTGCACTGAAGCCTCCAAAAAAGTCCCGCGTTTTTAACATACAATTAAATGTTTAAAAAAACATAGTTGTTACATGTGTTATATGCTAAGGTGAGACTTAATTTTTTCTTATTTTGTCAAGCCATTACCTGCCAATATTGTTGATTTAGATAAGATTAATGCTTTTTTTTATCCCTTTTTCTTTATTTATCGTGCCTGCCACCTCAATGAAAACTTCTATAATAAGAATTTCTCATTCACAGTTAAATAAATAATAATAAATTAGTATTAAACTATTAAACCAATAACTAAACTGTTTATATCATAAAATCACATTCTTTAATATACAGTCTTGCTTTAGAACAGGGGTGGGCATAAAAATCGGTCGGAGGGCCAAAGTGAATTTCTGATTTAACACTGAGGGCCGCACCCAAACTGTGTTTTTTCCAGTGCGCTTCTAAAAACCTCCAAGTACTGCTTTTTCACCATTTTACATAATGCAGCCAACAGCGATTTTTTTGCTATGAGTTATTAGTTTACAAAATAATTCATAAATATATGAAGTTTTGCTATTCTGCAATGTTAAAAATTTTTAATATATTTCGTTAATATTTATATTTCAATTTTTATTTCAGACATAAACGAGTGCTTGAGCGGACCTTGTCAAAATGGCGGGACGTGTACTGACGGTGTGAATGGATACACGTGTCAATGTGTAGCGGGTTGGGCGGGCCCTGATTGTGCAGACAGTAAGCATTCACAAATAATTCATTTACATTATTCAGTATAAGCCTTTGTCCAGGCTATCAATTTTGTATGTACAGGAAACTGCTGTATATACCCATCTACTATAGTAATGATGTGCTTATATATGGTCATGATATGATGTCATCATGACCATATTTAGAACATGTCACATATTTTTGTGAAATTTGATAGTCTGGACAGGGCTATATCTCAAGAGTAAGATTTTTTCAGAGGCGAGTCGAGTGGCTGTGCGGTAAGGCAGGGTCGCTGGTAGCTACAGCCTTAACATTTGCGCTGGTTCCAGCCACTCCTCGTTTATGTTTCGGTTGGTAGAAACAAGTCTTCTTGGATAAGGACTTAAAACGGAGGTCCAGTGTATACATCTGGCTCATGTGCACTTTCAAGAAACCCATTGCATCTTATGGAAGAATAGTGATTACCCCGATATTATGGCTCATTTCAGCCCCAGTCATTGTGGAAAGATGTGAACATGTGCCGTAGCTACCATTAAGAGCTTCTGTATGACTGCTAGGTAGTCACAGACCACACCCAATCAATTCAGCACAATGACGCTGAAAGTTATGGGTTATTCTCCTACTTTATCTTTACCTCACAAAAGTCAAAAAAGTATTCAAGCGGGTTACTGTCATTCACAGTAATATACAAATATACATAAATTAATATTATATCTAATCGCGTTATGAGGCCAGTCTGGTATATACCCTTGGATTCTCCATTTAAACGGTAGGGAGCTTTTGATTCGCGCGACGACGCGGCACTAGGATGGATTGACCCGTGCATGACTGTCCTACGTCCTCTGCACAACGTAGATTTGGCCAAATTGAATCCTAGAATCCATGCAACTGCAAAAAATCAATGTTCTCACATGTGCAGATGACTTTATGCGACATAATGTTCTACTGTACATCCTACGGTCGTCGTGCAATCTAAAGATCCCTGTGATGGCTGGGACGGTTGGATGAGAAAGGAATAATAAGTAACAGAAGAACCATGAAGTCTGTATAATATAAATAGTCTTTCTTTCTTCGAGTATACAGAAACTATTTCAATATAATAATATAATTTTAGATCACTTTGTAGTAAAATATATTTTTTTTATTTTTCTAGATATTAATGAATGTGCAAGTGCCCCATGTCAGAATGGGGGCCAGTGCACTGATCAAGTGAATTCCTATTTTTGTACTTGTGTTGCTGGATATACTGGTACTCACTGTGCAACTAGTAAGTTAATTAATGTAACACTTAAACGTCTTATTTTTTTGTTTTATGAACATGGTAGATAAAAAACTCTTCCATTATTTTTCAAGGGGTGTTCTATCACTTTTGATCTGTGCAATTTGTACATGTTTTTGTGTTGTGCTGGTACTGCTTTTAATACATAAAATGCATATTTATTGATTTATTTTTCTAACACAATTTTTTACAATGTAGACGTTTTCCCGAGTAAAATAATATTCATGTTTATCAGGATTCAATCAGGAATAGATTAAAGTTGTTATCTTCACAACAAATTATCTAAAGTGTGGTACAGACAAGGCAATTCAGTTGCGGGAACTGCCATCAATCGTTAGTCTATGTCATACGTTTTATGGTGTTGGTTACTATTTTATTAATTTTGGGTACTTCAAAATTTCTGTTACATCTGGTTTCTTTTGACCATGAGCTTGTTAAGTGCTTTTATAAATTACGATTTGATTTGTGAAAATTGCCAACAAAAAGAAAAGTTATAGCAATTGAAAATTTACAATTTTTATAAAAAATCATGTTCTTATACAACATTAAACTGTCATTTTTGTGACAATCAGCGTGCAAGTGCGTGGCACCTAGAATGTCGATGCCAGAGTTATAAACTTTGATGTCTCGAGATGTGCATCCTGTTGTTTAATTGCCTTGGTATAGATTATCTCTGAATATTCATAAGTGAGAGAGACTACATGTTGGAATGATTTTTTATGATTATTATTATTATTATTATTATTATTATTGTTATTATTAATATTATTATCATTATTATTATTACTGTATTATTATTATTATTATTATTATTACTGCATTGTTATTATTTTTTATTGATATGTTATCATTATTATTAATATTATTATTATTAATGTTATTATTATTATTATTATTATTATTGACATTATTATTATCATTATCATTATTATCATTATTTTACTGTTGTTATTTTCTGTTTCAGATATCAATGAGTGTGCCAGTAATCCGTGTATAAATGGAGGCCAATGTATTGATGGTGTTAACGGGTTCCTCTGCATATGTCCCTCTGGATTTAGTGGTACTCACTGCGAGATAAGTAAGTTTTACTTCACAAGGTCTTGCCATTCATTAAAGAGGGTTTGGTAAGCCGGGCGCTAACAAATTCTGTTAGGGCAGGTGACGCAACACTGTCTGCTCATTGTCGGTGGCAGCCTGCACGGATTGTCTTTAAAAATGCTTCTTAGCATGTGTGTTGTAGTGTTGCGTTCTTCATAGAATTGCGTCGGTCCACGACCGTCGAATGCAGTGAGCGGTCGGCTTTACATAGAGTAATCGTCTTAAATTGATGATTTTCTCTTTGTTGGCTACCATCTCATATGGGAAAAATAAAATGATCAATTATGATTTAAATAATAATAAATTACATTTTTAGTATTAAAAGTATGATTTAATTTTCATTTGTAGATCTGGATGATTGTGACCCAGATCCATGTCAAAATGGTGGCTTTTGTATTGATGGTGATAATACATACACCTGTGTTTGCCTATCGGGATATACGGGAACAAATTGTGAAATAAGTAAGTTTGCCTCTGATTATTAACTGTAAATATTTTTAGTGGAATTAACATCATATGGCCTTCATAAAGTCAGGATCAGATACATTAACAATGAACGCTTTTATGTTAAACACCTTTACTTACTGCTTTCAACTATGCTAACATATGTTATTCAAAAAAATAGGCCTACTGTACCAGTAAAATGTTGGGAGCATAAGTCTTAATGAAAAATTGTTTTCAACATATTAATTTTATGTCTGATGATGTCATTGGTGATGTCATAGCTTATGATGATGTCATTGGTAAATATTTATTGCATTTTAGGTGATATGATGAGTAAAGTGATATGGTCTTTTATTATGTTATAATTTAATTACATTCTTTTATAAATGGTGCTTTTAATAATTGAATTTGTTGCTTTCAGATGTTGATGAATGCGCCAGCAACCCGTGCGTCAATGGCGTGTGTAGTGATGGTGATAATAGCTTTTTTTGTACGTGTAGTCCCGGTTGGAGTGGAACTCACTGCGAAATTAGTAAGTGTGATGAAAGGCTAATGTATAGTTAAGGCTTGTCATTGCAAAGCCAGCGTACTGAACTGTTAATTGTTATTGAACTGAGTAACTAGCATATAGAATGTGTCAGTATTTGATGCTTTAGTACAGAGGAGAGGCCAGGCCAGGCCAGGCCAGACTGAGCTAGGCTAGGCAAGGCTAGGCCAGGCCAGGCCATACTTTTACTCACAATAATAGTAAGCCAACTCCAGTAAGTGACCTCATCATTTTAAAGATTACAATGTAGACAGTAAGAATATATTAAAAAGCCAATTTTCATCTCTTGGTCACTGCTACTGGTTTTTGGATGACAAGCATTAATTATCTTATTCAGTAGCCATGGTTACATGCTTTAGTCTCTAACCTCATCATCAGTCATCTAAGATACCACTCCAACAGGAAATAAAACATTTTTCATTATATAGGCTTTTAGAAGACACCGACAAAACGGGGTTTTGTGTATGTCCCTGGGGGATAACACACTTTTGAAGTCCGTAAACATTCCCCAAAACTTTCACCTTTTAAACTCTCTTACTCTACTGGTGTCTTTCTTTGTGGAATCATCCCGATTTTAAAGAAAGGTGATAAGTCTATGCCAACTAACTACTGCCTATAGCATTAACATCGCAGATCTCCAAGGTCATGGAGTCTGTCGTCACGGACCAACTCATGTTCCATCTGGAGCAAAACCATTTTCTTTCTGACCATCAGTATGGTTTCCGTAAATCTAGGTCAACAGGTGACCTCTTAGCTTATGTAACCCACATCTGGTGATCTTTCTTTCGTCTGGTGAAAACCATGTAATTACTCTGGACATTTCCAAAGCATTTGACTGGGTCTGGTATTGTGGTCTCATTACCAGGCTCCCCATGTTTGGACTCTACTGAACATTCATTAACTGGATTCCTATATTTTTTTTTTCGACCGCCCAATCGCTGTTTCTGTTGATGGTCTATAAGGATAGGAGGTGCCTGGGTCATGGTATGCCCGAGACTCAACTGGTGCTGAAAAGCGTAGATCTTGACAGATCCCTTCAGCCACGAGGGTAAAACCCAATACTGCAGTTTGGGTGCTGGAGTTTTCCCTTATTTTTCCACTTAAATCCGCACATAGAGACCCTCGTATTTTGCACAGTACAAATACATAACATTTAACCTTTTATAACATTTACTGATGATGTCACTGGTAGAATATTTAATACGTGATTTCGTGGGTGATATGATGAGTAGTGAAAATAATCTTTTGTTATAATTTAATTACATTTTTCTTATAAGTGGTGCTTTTAACAATTAAATTGTTGCTTTTAGATATTGATGAATGCGCCAGTTCCCCGTGCGTTAATGGCTTGTGTACCGATGGTGTTAATGGATACATTTGTTCGTGTAATTCTGGTTGGTCCGGAGTCCACTGTGACTTCAGTAAGTGTGATGAGAGGCTGTTGCATCTCATTCATTATCCATTAGATGACTTTAGTATCCTACTGACTTTTTCAGAGAAATCCAGAGAGATGTAAAACACTCTTAATAATAGGCTTTTAGAAGACATCAACTACATTAGGGTTTTGAATTTTATAGAGATATGACACTCTTCTGTTTGAGGGCTTTAATTAAGCCATCCCATTGCAAAACAACGCAACTGCTGTTATATTTTTGTGTAGTTGTTGTGCCAGTGGCCGTACTCCATTTATAAGAACCACTTCAACATGTGGCTCTAACATACTCATTCCAAAAAAGATATTAAATTTAAGACACAATTCAATTGAGAATTTAGAGGACACTCATTCATTTGAGGAATAAGTCACCCTCCTCTAATAGATATTTAACCCTTAGAGGGATTTAGAAGGAAGAGTCCTGCTAACATGAGATATTTCGTATGACCAAAAAAAACCTTTTAAAGCTTCATAGTAAAACTAAGTTAAATGGATTGAAACATAAAATAATTACAGGAGGAATTCAACAACACAAATAGCTTAAACATTACCTTTTCCCCTCTGGCTAACTCTCTTATAGTTTTTCAGCACCTTGCAATCCTAGGTAAATGGTGCTTTTATAAATTCCTATGTCCTTTATAAATTCCTATTATTTTTATAGATATATAGAGTATACAAAAATAATAACTATGTAACATCTTCCTAAATTGGTTACAAATGGTCAAGATATTGGGGATTGATTGATAAATTATAAACTCTAATATGTATATTATTCTTTTAATTTTCTCTTATTTCAGATATTGATGAATGTGCTTCATTACCGTGTCAGAATGGAGGAACTTGTTTAGATGGTGTTAATGCCTACTTTTGCACCTGTGTAGCTGGTTATTCTGGGATCCACTGTGAAATTAGTTAGTGATAGCATTTCATTGCCTTGTTCATCAAATTCATCACACATTTATAAATCATTACATTTCATTTATTGGGGTTTTTTTTTTCACTTTACTGGCATGCACAACACTCTCTTCTCTTCTGTTTGTTCATATTTCAATTTAATTTTTGATTCGTTTATTTGCTTCTTTGTGTTTTAGTTTGGGAATGCCAAACTGTAAGGGTATGTAATGTGCATATACTTCTAGGCATGAACATGTGTTTTAATGAGCATGAGTTTGTATGCATGTGCATTTTGCAAATGTGTGCACAAGAACACATGTGTTATTAGGTTTATGAATTTGCATGTGCACTTTGCACATTTGTGCACAAAAACACATGTGTTGTGGGCAATTATGAGTTCGCTTGCATGTACACTTTTGCACACATGATCATAAGAACACATGTATATGAATTCGCATGCATGTGCACTTTAACACATGTGCTCATTAGAACACATGTGGTATTTGGCTTATGAGTTTGCATGCATGTGTACTTTGCACATGTGTGCACAAGAACACATGTGTTGTAGGCAATTTATAAGTTTGCATGCATGTGCACTTTTGCACACATGATCATAAGAACACATGTGTTATATAAATGTGCATGCATGTGCACTTTAACACATGAGCTCATTAGAACACATGTGGTATGTGGCTTATGAGTTTGCATGCATGTGCACTTTAACACATGTGCTCATAAGAACACATGTGTTAACAATAAGCTTTTACGAGTTTGGATGCATGTGCACTTTGCGCCTGTGTTAGCATGAACACCTGTGTTTATACAGGCATGTGTTTCCCTTAATGTGTGTATTTACATGCATGTTTATATTTAGAGTATTTCTTTGCTAAGAACCATGTCTGCTTTTTTTACCAAACATTGTTACCAAAGTGGTTTGTACAGCCGAGGGCCTTCACATCTAATCCATATCAATAACATTAAAAAAAAATATCTAACAGCTAAATTTAAAACATAAATAAACATATTATCTTTATTTGTGCTGAAATTTACAATTATTATACATTGGATATATTATTAGCTTCCATGTTTTTATTTATTTTTTTTAATTGGAAATATTAATGATTTTAATACTTTATACATCAATTATAGATTGATTGATTATTGAAACTGTAGCTTAGCTGTGGAAGTTCTCATGGGAAAACAAATGCTTGGTGGGGGAGGTTCTTGGTAACAGTGTTTGTGTCACGAGATACTGTGATGTAACAATAGCGATATTATACGTGCACATTACTTTTTTGCACGTGTATCTGTCGTTTATTTAATCCTCTAGTTTACTTGAATGAAATCTTGTTGCATTACAGTATTTTCCAAATGTCATTAAAAACTTGTTACTTTGCTTTCCTACTTTGCTTTGAGTGCCAAATTCCTATTTTAGAGTCGGCATTCTCAACTCTGTAGTTTTTGCACAGTATGTAGTTTTTTTGCTATTTTTTGGCGGCCATGTTTTTAAGTGTTTTTGAATTTATAGACAATGATGAGTGTGCTAGCTCACCTTGTCAAAATGGAGGAACCTGTGTCGATGGCGTCAACAGCTACGTCTGCGTGTGTGCGGACGGGTTTTCTGGAGACCATTGTGGTAACAGTAAGTTTTATAATTTATAAAGCTATCAAATTTTATGTGACAAATTTGTCAGCCGTTCCGTGGCAAAACAATGTAACTTGAAATTTTCATATTTGGAGGAAAATAAAGTTAAAGTTTGCATGTTCATAACTTCACAATAAATTGTCGTAGCCTTTTAAAATTTTGCAGGATTGTATATCTATGGACATTGTGATTATATGTAAAATTTTAATTACAACCATTTGTTTATTGCAAAGTTTTTAGCAATAATTACAGATGCGTTGTTTTGCCACGGAAACATGTCAGGCTATTTATTGTTGCAAGTGCAACATATTTTTGGAATTTGTCATGTTTGGGGCAATCTTATGCATACCTAGCCTGTTCATACATCACTGTTTTAAGACTATTAAAAAACACCAATAACCATTTGATTTTGCATTGCCAAACTCCATAGGCTCTAGACCATTTTTGAATAGCATTCTGTGGCAAAACAATATATCTTCATCGCAGATACATTGTTTTGTCATGTAATCTTGTAGTTATGTTGTTTTGCCACTGAAAATCACTGGATTTTAAGTTTGTGCCTAAAGATAGGTGTTGTTATCTCCGAAACCACTCATTATTGAGACCTGAAAATTCAGACGTCTTTAATATACTCCCAAATGATATTTCTCAAAATCGACAAAAATTTCAGTTACATTGTTTTGCCTTAGGACGGCCGTTGTTAGATGTGCCCAAATACGAGCATGACGTTGTCATATTACAGTTACACCCAAATATGGGCATATCACTTTATTTATCGCATAACATTTTTATAGTGTGGACATGAGCTTAAGCCTCATAAGCCAACATTTATATTTTAAAGCTCTGTCCACACTATCAAATGATAGTGTCATTGTGGAATCAGATGCTACTTTAAGCGCCTCTTTAATGACCCTGTCACAGCTTGACGAATTAGCGTATGCCGACACATCAAAATTTCTCTAAAACACCGTCATACGCTAAACTTTCAATGTTTTAAAAAAATTTTGGGCATATACTGTACATAGCGTATGTCACAAGCTCGACTTGAAAATTTCAACCAATGAAATGACTTGAGTACAACTTATTTTAATTCACACCAAATTATATATTTAATTGTCAGAACTTACGATTATAACTATGAAAAGTAAAGATACTGTATAGTATAAAAATAATACAGAATCACAAAAATATAAATATCAAACAAAATGCTCTCATGGCATGTCTGCTCCGTTCAATCTTTTTTTCTTTAATCAGATGTTTTTAATGAAAGTTTTACTTTAATTGAAAATTACAAGACACCAAATGTATTTGCAATATTTGATCTGGCCTCTCTCGGGGTACTGCATCTGTCATCAGTTTCATGATACTTCATATTGTAAAATTCAACTTCGTGTTTTTTTAAAAAGGTGGATTTTTTATTTTGTATAAGTATTTTTATTGATCATCGGTTGTGGACTACAAGCAGTTTTCTAGCCAAGGACGGTAGGTGGCCTTCACAAATAGAGTTTTAAAATATTTTTTGCAGGCTGCAACAAATCTGATGTTGGGCTGCATATTGCCTGCAGGCCACACATTGCTCCCCTTTGCTATTTGAGATAGTCCAACTCTGCTTGTGATGCCAAAGAAACTTATGGGACCCCATCATTATAAGAAATCATAGTACTTGATTAATTGTTTAAATTATTTACTGTCATATGAGGCAAGTTGTGGCAAAATGGCTAAGCAAAAATGGAAATTCAAGTTATTGGTATTTTCAGATACCTAAGTATGTGATCTTTAAAATGATGGGTCATTCGTTAAAATTGAACATTTCAAGCCTAAGTTATTGGAAAGTGAAAATACAGTACTCTTAGAGTCAAGATAAATATGATTTTGAGTAATTGCCTTCAAAGTTATTTGTGCATACATTGTTTAATAGAATGAACTATCAAAATAACTTTAAATAAACAATTTGTTGACCACTTGCAGAACTAATACTTTGGTACATGATTAATAAGACATTAAACTGTTGATCTATAATAAAAAACAAATTTGGATTTTTAGGCAATTTTTTGAGCTCCCATATTTTATAGCTCATTTACTTAATACTGGCCTGTGCGACAACTTACGTATTTCGCCATGACATACCTCATATTTGCTAAATAATTTGTTTGTGATGAGCGTAAATAAATACTAAAAAGCATTTCTTTTGGTTGTTAGACGATAATGAATGTGCTAGTGCTCCTTGTCTAAATGGAGGTGCTTGCATTGATGGAATCAACAGCTACACCTGCGTCTGTGTTCCAGGGTATTCTGGCACACATTGTGAAATTAGTAAGTTGATTGTTTTTTGGCATTTTACCCGTGTCGAATGCAATGCCGAATCTGTTTCTGTTGTTGTCTTTAGCTAATAAATAAATTAAGAACTTTATTTTACGAGTTTTATTGAAAGAAATTACATCATTTTTGTTAGCTACTCAGCCAAAACACATAAAAAACAACAGATTTTAAGCTGATTATTTGATCATTCAAATTTTATTATGAAACAGTTGATTTTTTTTTCAGATGATAATGTTTGCATTTTACAACAGTGTCGGATTTGTTTCTTCTGTTGTCTTTGGCTAATAAATAAATAACTCTATTTTTACGAATTTGTTTTGCAAAAATTACATCATTGTTTTTAGTGTAGCTAGTACAGATCTTTAAAAATGACTAAGCAGATTATATGATCATTCAAGCTTTATTTTGAAAAAAAAAAAAAAATTTCAGATAATGCTGAATGCGCAAGTTCCCCGTGTCTAAATGGCGGTTTATGTGTCGATGGCGTGAACTCTTATACTTGTCAGTGCCAGCCAGGCTATGAGGGCGTGATCTGTCAAACAAGTAAGTTAAAGTGCAATACTCTTAAATAAGCGCTACATACAGCGATAGCGGCATGCCACAGCAACAGAAATATTTTGTGGCGCTTTTCTTCTTCCTGGGTTTAGGACCAACTTCACAGTTGAAGGCTTTGGCCTGACGGATGTGGACTACTCATTCCTACAACTTGCTTCTCTCCTATGGTTCCCGTCGTGTCATGCGCTGGCCAAGAAGGCGCTTAGTCTAGTCCACAGTGGCAGAAGCTATGAGATGGACCAGTACACCGGGGTAACCCTCTACTAGTCTTGAAAGATGTACTCTGGGTTCTTGATAGTGCACAAGAGGCAAAGGTGTACACTCGGCCTACGGTTTATAGTCCTTATCCGAGACTTTTTCCACCTCCAGAACTATAGGCGGGCGTGCCATTCAAACCAGCGCCGATATTGTGGCTGTAGGTTGCGGCGTCTATGCCTTAACTGCTCAGCCATTCAACTTGCCACTATAAAGAACATAGTAGGTTTTATTTTTTCTGCAAATGTTGCCGTGGTAAATTAACATTTACTATTCAGAAGCAGCATTGTTGGAATTTTTATCATAACAAGTCATGCTATGTTCTTGTTTATATTTCATTCATGTTTTTCTCTTCTTCCAGATATTAATGAATGTGCGTCATTACCATGTCAGAATGGAGGAACTTGTGTGGATGGTGTTAATGCATATGTTTGCCAGTGTATTGCTGGTTATACTGGAACCGTCTGTCAAATTAGTGAGTGATAGCGTTTTAAAAATGTAGGACGGAAGACATGATCTATCAGGACAATAACCACCCAGACAAAAAACACCCACAATGGATTATACCATTTGTTAAAGTGGAGTGGACAATGTTGGGTGGGCTTGTTTTTATCTAATAGAATTAGGTTACTGTGTTTATTGTGATTAGTTTATAGTACTTTACGACTTTTTAATTCATTCAGTATATTTTAGCATCATGTAGGTTAATGAGATCTTAATATCTTATTGTTCACAATGTAACCTATCCTGTTGTAGTGCTAGATAAAAGCAAGCCCATCCAACATTGTGCACTTCACTGCCCACCCTACTTAAAAAATGGTATAGTCCATCCTGCACTCTTTCAGGTCTAGTTTACTATTTTGTTGTAAATTATCTTAAAAATATCAAGCACTGTACATGCTTATGTGCATCCAGTGACGGATCCAGGAATTTGAAGTAGAGGGACCTCTAGAGGGACTTTCACAGCGGGAGTGTATATACCACCCCAGCCCCAACCATCGGGCTAAGATAAGAAAATTTATGATGATTTATGATTGTTTTGAAAATTTAGGGGTGGGGCGAATGCCGGCTGGGCCCTCATCTGCCACATGACATGCCAGCAATTAAAACAAAAAAAATAGCTTTAAGTTATTAATGAATTATTACTGTGATATATTTAATGCTTTGTTGTAAAATTGTTCATGTTTTTCTTTTCAAACAGATGTTAACGAGTGTGCTTCCTCACCCTGTCAGAATGGTGGAACTTGTCTGGATGGTGTTAATTCATACATTTGCCAATGTGCACCTGGTTATACCGGATCTTTCTGCGAAATTAGTTAGTGATATTGTTTAGTTGCTTTGCAATACAAATACATCATAACACATTTTCTCATGGTTTCCGCAACTTCCATATAAATTTCTTTGAACTTTGCATGCAGCAAAAAAAAAATTACTTAAATCATTCTTCAGTCTAGCTTCCTGTTCTCGTTTATTTAGCCACTAAATACTTCTAAAATGTGAGGTGTCTTCACAAACTGAACTTTTTGGTACCAAAATATGAAAAATGAGCAGTTAATTTATTCAGATGTTATTTTGGATTTTGAATTAAGTTCCTGGGGACTTAATCACTTTTTAAATTTTGTTGTCTTTGACGTAAGTTTTGAAAAAAAAAAATGCCTTTAAAGACAGACAATTGATAGCTTTTTTTAATTAGTTTTCTTATCAATTCAGAAAAAAACAGCCTTTGAAAATAAGCCTTAAAAACCAATTTAATGTATATAAGTCCATGCAGAATGTTATACTATCTGTCAATATAAGTATTAAATTTATCAGAATATCTGAAACCCCTTTTTGATCAAAACATGGAGATGTAATTATTTCTATATCAAATTGACATTTCATAACATGATTCATTTTGCTATGACACTTCACAAATGTCAAACTGCATGGCTATGCAAATGTGTAGGCTTGTTCATGCTAAGTAACTGTTGCGTATCTGGGATTCTTGAAATGGGGGCTGGAACGCGAAAGTAGAATGGGCCCGTGGTGATTAAGTGACAGTACTAGGTTGCAAAATTTGCTACTTGATCGTGGAGAAGTTACATTTTCAAAGGGGAAGGGTGACTGGGGAGTGCAAGCTTTATTTTGGGGAGTGCTCCTTCCTCCCTGCGCCCCCCTACATGCTCTACTGAGCATGAACATTTTCATTTATATATGAGCACATGAATTAGCGAGATGCTTTGCAATGGCTTTGCATATCCTCTCATTTTTTTTACATGTGCATGCATCATTATATTTTATGCTTTTTTTTCATCATTTGCATATTTGAAATCTTTTTATAATGTCATTGAAACTTGGTAATGGGTTTCTTAAAATTCATAGAGTACCCAAATTGCTAAACGGTGCGCTATTCTAGAATAGTAGTCATTTTTCATTTTGTTGGCGGCCATGTTTTTTTTAAGTGTGTTTGAATTTATAGACATTGATGAGTGTGCTAGCTTTCCATGTCAAAATGGAGGAACGTGTCTTGATGGCGTTAACAGCTATTTCTGCGTGTGTGCTGCTGGCTTTTCTGGAGTTCATTGTGATAACAGTAAGTTCTTTTTATAACTAGTTAGCACCTCATCTCAAATATGACAAGCTATAGGTGGGAGGGGGTGGACAAATTTGTACACTTTTACGAGTACATGTAAATGTTTATTCACAATAACATGCAGTATTTTAATATTAAAACATTTTTTAAAAATATTAAAAATATTAAAAAAATAAATAAAATATTATATTCTATTATAAAATATTATTTTATATTTTAAAAATATTTAAAAATAACAGAATTTTATAACCAATTATAATGCAACCATGTATATAATATTATACACATTGATGTAACTAAGTAAAATAACCTTAGTTGACTTAACAAGAAAATGGTGAATGGTTTTGCAAAATAAACATTTTTTGTGTACACTTTCAGAGGGGAGGGTGGGGGTAGCGAAAAAATGTACTGTTTGTACACTTAGACTTAGAAAAATATTGATAATTGTGAACGACTTGTTACAAAAACTATTACATTAGTTTTTTGTGATGAATACAAAATATTAAAAAAAGCATTTGTTTTGGTGGTTAGATGATGATGAATGCGCCAGTGTTCCTTGTCAAAATGGAGGGCTTTGCCTTGATGGTGTCAACAGCTACACTTGCATCTGTGTTCTAGGATTTTCCGGTACCCAATGTGAAATTAGTAAGTTGCTTCATGTTTTACGAACTATGTTCATATTCATAGTAAAGCTACTTTGTACTTGATTATCGTGTATTGAAATGTTAAATGTATACCTCTAGGTCTTAAATTTTGCAACCATTTTTATTTATATATTACTAATAACAATAATGATGACGAAAACTATGTCAACGGCGAGGATGAATGATGATGATAGTGATAAGAATGATATAATGAGATTATTGAATAATAAGACAATTAGTGTTAATATATATAATGAGATTAATAAATAATGAGACAATTAAATAATGTTAATATATAAGATTATTAAATAATAAGATAATTAGATATGCATCACATTATTGTCATTGCGTCAATAAAAACATCAGTTTTTTAGGAAGTATTTCATATAGTTGCAGCTAGTAATAATTATAGTGTCACTCAATTACAAGTACCGACTAATCTTTGTATAATATTATCAGAGAGTGTTATAGACAGTGTGGTTGTAGGTTTTACCAATGTACACAAAACAAGGGGCTTAGCTTGGGGACCGCAAGCCTCTCGCAACTCATAGGAGTCTCCCAGAAATTAGCATGCTTTTCATTCAACTGAACTTAGTTATTGTCCTTTAGTACCCTTTTCGTAATGTTCATAAAACTTAACAACTGACAGAATAAGGCCACGAATAGTGCAGGTTATCACAAACACACGTTGCCCCATAAACGCACATGTTTGCGTATGTTTTTACACTGTAGTTTTGTGGGACCATCACAACAATACCAAGGCATGGGGTTTTAGCTTAAAGGTCCATTATTATAAAGCTTCAATGCTGCGCTTATTTGAGAGCGGCACTTATACAAAAATATTGGTGTGGCGCTTTCATCTTCGTATTCCCATAATTGAGTAGGCCTATCTCATAAGTACTCTTCATCGTAAATAAACATTTATTAAGAAATGCTTGTGTCTTCATTGAATTATTTATTTATTTTAACACTGTATACATTGTGTTTAAAAGCCTGTTTCTCAGAGTGTTTCATTACACACAGGGTAACATATACTCTTGATTAAGCGCTGCGGTACTTAGCGAAAAAAAATCAGGTTTGGTGCAGCGCATATTCGAAAGCGGCGCTGATTTCAGCATTTACAGTAGTTCCATTGTAAAACATTTTATTTTCCCCTCCAGATAATAATGAATGTGTAAGTTCGCCCTGTCAGAATGGTGGTCTATGTGTCGATGGCGTGAATGGTTACAGTTGTACGTGTCCACCAGGCTATGAAGGTGTCCATTGTGAAATAAGTAAGTACTTTGCTACAGTTGTGGTTTAATAATTTTGGGAAAAAAAATCCAAAAATATTAAATTCATAAGGCAAGACAAAAAAAAGGTGTATATTTCTTTCTAATTATATTTAAAGATCTGATGATCTTAAAAAAAAAATTCCTGAAACAAAGTATAAAAAAAGTCCTTCGGTCACTATGGTGAAAAGAAATTAAAAAAGAAAACCAAGTAAAAAAGTGACGCTTGTGAAATAAGTAAATTGAAGAATTGCTAAATCTTAAATTCTGATATATTTTTTTTTGATGATTGAAAAATGTATGTTGTTCAAATACATGACAAAGTAGTTTGTAATTTATTGTTTATGTGATTAATACAAAAAAAGTATTTAATTAAGAATTCAGTATTAAACATTGATTTTGTCAATTAACTTCCCTGGCTTTTGCTATTCTTTAAATGAACACCCCTACTAAGAAAATGGAACCACCTACAGTACACCTGTATACTTGTCCTTGTTCTCCTTGGACCACAGAGAGATGATGATTGGCATTTTATCATTGTATCTCATTTCAATAGGTCAATCTAGAGTGTAAAGTATGTTATACTCAAGGTAATAGAATAATAACTATACTTGTATTGGCAACCATATTTGTCATTATTATTGCAGATATTAATGAGTGTGCAAGCACGCCATGTCAGAACGGCGGTTCATGTGTTGATGGGGTTAATCTATACATTTGTAACTGCCTTCCTGGTTGGTTTGGAACTCATTGCGAATTGAGTAAGTCATAGCGAGTTTTCGATTTCATTTGTGGTTCCTTGGTGTCTTAAAAAAGACGCATCATGTAATACCCATTCTTAGATTTAACTTAAGATATTGAGATAAGCGAAAAGAAAAAAAGTCTGAAGAGTTGCCTTCAGTGAAGTTGTTCTGCTGGCAAATTTGGCAGCAATAACCAGAGGAAGAGTCCCCTACTTTACTGCACTCCTTAACATACACATAAGCCATATCATACATAGGACCAATGGCTTATCATCTCATCCGAAAGACGGTGCAATATTAAACTTAAAATTTCAACGTCCAGTTGAAACACAAGGAGAGTTTGATAGAATTAAAACCGAAAATTTTATTTTATTAAATGATTTTTTTTTGCTTAATTCTAGATGCTGATGAATGTGCTTCCACACCATGTATCAATGGAGGAATTTGTCTAGATGGCGTTAATTCATTCTTTTGTCAGTGTGGTGCTGGTTGGACAGGAACCTTCTGCGAAATTAGTAAGTCTGATTTTCCATTGAGTTTTTATATGCCTGAACCTTAAAATTTACTATTCTAAATGTAGACCGAAAAAAAAATACTTCTATCGTCATTAGCGGAAATCTATGTGGTGTACCGCAAGCATATATAGGTGATGCTTCGCCATACAAACCTAAAAATAATATTGATATAATTGTTTGTGATGGTTTATTTAATTTATAGACATTGATGAGTGTGCTAGCTCGCCATGTCAAAATGGAGCAACGTGTCTTGATGGCGTGAACAGCTATTTCTGTGTGTGTGCTGATGGATTCTCTGGAACCTTATGTACTATTAGTAAGTTGAGTTTTTTAGTCTTTTTTAAGCCAGGCTAAAACAGATAAAAATTAAAATCAAAGTTTTGAGGTATGTACAGGTTGTACTTAAAAGAAGATTGAGGCAGAGGCGACACCAGGATTTGCCAGATGGGAGGGCAGATGAGAGAAAAGTGGGCGTGGTCTGGCTTTGCTTAAACCCTCTTGATTCCTGATGATGACATAATTAATGTCGAAATATTGAATCCCAACACGATGGCGTGTATTTCAATACTTGGAGTATGTATTATACTTTCTCTTGAAAGTGTTTCTTGGGACGAAGCCCTCGAAAAATATGACAATTTAAGGGTTTTAAATGCATATTTGATTGATTTTAGTGTCTACTATATAGAAAATATACATTTTATTTTTTCCCCGACGAATTGTGGTTTTTCTCCCCGACTGTTTCCCTCCCCAGCGGTGCCACCACTGCGATGAGTCAAAAACACAACTTTATTATAATTATAGTGAAAGCTCCATGGATAGTTATTATTTTAATTCTATTTTTTTTTTCAAAGATGATAATGAGTGCGGCAGCTTACCTTGTCAAAATGGAGGCACTTGTGTGGATGAAGTCAACAGCTATATGTGTTTATGTCGAGCGGGGTACTCAGGAACAAATTGTGAAATCAGTAAGTTTTCTCTCAATAGCTGTTATACTTGAGGATTATATACCTGCTTGCTGAGGATTATATACCTGCTTGGTGTGGCCCACTCCCTTGTCATTTCATATTTTTGTAAATAGTACTGATCTTATACTTTTGTTGTTCTTCTTTCTGCTAAAAAATAACACTGATAAAATTCATTATAATGCATTTCTGATAAACTTTCAAGCCTTGAAAACAATTACCAAGGTCTTGTCGGTCCACATACTTTCTTATTGTAGCAGCAGCAGCAGCAGCGTGTATATTAACTTGTATCTGTTTTATACAGTACTCTAGCATGTCTCGTAATTCATGTTATGTCTTCCTCTAGATATCAATGAATGTTCCAGTGGGCCTTGTCTGAATGGAGGAGGATGCACAGATGGCGTGAATGGATATGTATGTACTTGTCTGCCAGGCTGGGCTGGACTTATTTGTGATGAGAGTAAGTTTTTTTTCTACAGTTTGCCCTCAAAATCTAGACTACCCTTCAGACTTGAAAAATTTGGGGTGTTCTCTAGGTTGGTCTCCAACTAGAGTTCTAGCTTAGTTTTAAAAGAGTGAAGATTGTTATTTTGGTCTTTGGAATAGTGGTCTCGATTTAGAGGGGTTTCGGAATTTGAGGGGTCTCAAATTAGAGGTGCATTTGTTTTTCTATTATCTAAGATTATTTAATTTAAGTCACACAATAATGATAATAATAATATGTTAGATTTACGTAGTAGTTAATGCCAAGGTGCCTCAAAGCGCTTCAAAATATTACCCCCTTAAAGAAAATTATAAGTAATTTGAAATCAACAGAATAATGCTTTACTATCTTTTAGATTAATAGTCACTGGGGCAGATGAAGGGGGTGCAGACGGTGCGATTGCACCCCCCTTAAATTATATTTAAGAAAATGAATTGTTTTATTATATTGTTTGATATGAATTACTGGTAAGATTTTTAAGGTATGAGAGTGTGATTTTCAGGAACCGAAAAGTCCATATTCTCTTACGCACCTCCTTCCTCCAAATCCTCCATCGGCTCTTGTAGTCACACCAACTTGCTGTTGTAGAAGAATTTGATTATTTAATATATTATTTTAATTTGTCTATCCAGATATTAATGAATGTGCAAGTACCCCTTGTCAAAATGGCGGAACGTGTAATGATCTGGTAAATGGCTACACATGTACCTGTCTCCCAGGATACACAGGGTCCCACTGTGAAATTGGTAAGTCTGTGGCAGATTTTCAAATTCTTCTATATATCAGTTTTGGACAGATAATAATAATTTATGTGTGATGTGTTCCAACAAAACCTGGACAGAGGTGTAGAATATTTTAAAAATGTTTTTGTATGTAATTACATTCTAATTCGCGTCATAGAATATTAAATATTATCACTAAGATCTAAAGACTGTCTCCGGTAATAAATCGTGTTGGGCTCGTCGTACAACGCTGTCTGAATTGGGCTTTTGGTTTTCAGATGTTTACATCTTTTTAGAAGATAATATATGAAATTATAAAACTATTCTAATATTTTATTATTATATTGAAGTATTATCTATTATTATATTTATAAACTATAACTATTGCTTATATTATTAATATCAAACTTAAGAGTACCCTGTATTTGACAACTTTTAATTTTCTCCAAATGTTAACATTACCCAGTGCACATGATTTTTCCCAAATTAAACGTGCCTTGGCAAAACACAAGCACTAGTACTAGCATGTATTTATAGGGCGCCTCTTCCTTGATGTTATAAAGCGCAGTTCTTTTTCCAGTGGTTATTGGGTCTACATGCTTTAATTGTTGCTGCTGATAATCAGTGCAGGAGCAGGCAACCCCACCAGGTACCCATTTATACTCCTCGGTGGAGAGAAGCAGTGCAGATAAAGTGCCTTGCTCAAATGCACAGCATGGGATTAAATCCCAGACCTCGGACGCATTATTAATGTGTTTTTTTTTCCCCTTCTCTCAGATATTGATGAGTGTGCTAGTGTTCCGTGTCAGAACGGCGCCACTTGTTTTGATTTGATCAACTCCTACTTTTGTAGCTGCACCAGTGGATGGACAGGAGTTACTTGCAGTAGCAGTAAGTATATCATAATATGCTAGAGGGCAGTGCTGGAAAAAGTGCGCGACCTAAGGTCAGAGACAGCATAAATATCTCAGCGGCATTTTGAGGGGAAAAAAATTTAAAAAACGAACTATTGGGCTATTTACGGATAACATTTGGTGCTGGAGGAATTTTATCGAGATAATTTTTTATGGTCGGAGGCACTATCTTTTTTTTCCAGGCCTGCTAGATGGTGTGCTCGCTTCGCTCAATTACCCTCTGCAGGGTCTGCAGTTAACTTTTTTTAGTAATTATTAGCCCACTGGGCTAGTTGACTAGAAATTTTACTAGAACACAGAATATTTTACCAGCCCACAGACAAGAAACAATTTTGTTTCAAAATATTGATTAGCGACAATTGATTAGCAATTTCATAATTTGGGTAGTAATCTTTGATGGATGTTAATAATTCTTACGTATCAGAAACACAGAGTTTAGATCATGTTTTATGATATACAAAGCAAGGCCTTCATGGACATAAACAATAATTAGCATTGCACACTGCCTATGACGTTCGTACGACGCAGTGTGTGTCCATATTTAAGCCTGTTTCCCACTAGGCAAATTCATTCGTGCGAATCAAAAGAGTTGGTTCTCTTCCTGAGCTCTGATTGGTTCCACATTTGCTTCACAAAAAGTAGAAACAGTTTGAACTGCTGATTTTGCTGAAGCGGAAAGTTAAATGCGCATATACATGAACCGACTCTTTCAATTCGGGCAAATACATTTGCCTTGTGGAAAACTGGCTTATATTTATTGCCAATGCATTGCGCATTCACGTCCTGTTTATATGTGTTGTTCTATTCAGCGTTCAAATAATTTTTATCAGGGGTGTATCCTGGATATTTTATGGGTGGGGCGTGATCATAATCACGAACCCACAAATCGATTACAGTGCCACCAGCTTGAAAAAGATGACAGGCTCAGTTTCAGAGTTGCTGGAATTGAGATAGATAACATCACGCAATTGGCAAGGTCTTTGGATTCATTGCTGGTACCTCATCAATGCCTTTTCATTTATGTAATTGTGAAAGGACCCTAGTAAAAATCTCTATGGAAAAAATGTAGACCTTACATACACCCATGTTTATGTAATTTTTTATGAAATTGAAGTATAATATGAATTATAATAATGTTTTGTGTTTTATTGTATAGATTCACAGGAAGCCTAACGCCTTAAAAAGGGTGGTATGGTGTGCATAGTAGCTTAGCATTTTGGTATTTAAAAAATTTTCACTAGCAGGTAGCTTTGGTGTGTTTCTCACCTGCAATAGCCCTAGCACTAGCCCTAGCTTTTTCTATATTTTTTTTCTGTAATAAGTTTCTCTGATGATTGCTTGCTAAAAGGTCTATTTTCAGCACTCATACTCATATTTCTTTATATCACAAATACAAATGTATAATGTACATTGATAATTATCTTGTATGCATATCAACCATAGAGATACATCTCTGTTCACACTGTCAGGTTTTGAAATATGACATCATGATTAATGATTAATAGTGTGGACAGACCTTAAGATTACTAGAGTTCTAACTAACAAAATTCCAAAAGGGGTATTTGTGTATAGGGGACGCTTAAGGGTAGATTTTCGGGACCAAAAAATTGTTTCCATAATAGGGGGTTTCTTCTAAATTGGTGTTGGCCATGTGCTAAAAGATACAATTTTTTGGCCATAAAAGCTTGAGTCCTCCTAATAGAAATGTCCCAAAATAAGACAGATGAATGTGGTATGCCCATATTTGGATGTAACATATCATCATGCCCTTGTGGGCACATCACACACATTTGTCACTTAAAATTTGGTTGTGTGGACAGACCTTTAATAAAGCTGTTGACACTATCAAGGTTTCATGCGGCAAGTATGTGTGATATGTCCACATATGGGAAAATTGACGTCATATCAACCCATATATGGGCAAATAACAAGTATGTGTCACATAGTAATTGGTAGTGTGGCAGATCTTCGGAGTTAGAACTCTAGTAGAACTCCTATAATCATTGTATTATATCAACATTAAATTTGATTTCAAAAACTATAGACCCAATACACATTTATGCACTCAGCACTATGAACAAATGTCAGAAATGATTTAAACATTATCAATTTATCTCACAGATATTGATGAATGTTCAAGCATGCCTTGTAATAACGGTGGAGTATGTAATGATGGAATCAATGGATTCACCTGCACCTGTCCTGCAGGTTGGACTGGAGTCATTTGTGAAATAAGTAAGAATTTTTTTTTTTTTTTTTTTTTACACATTTTGGATCGAGACTTTAATTCCATTCACTGCAACTGGATTTTTTTCTCACAATTTAAAGCAACTTCATGGCCGTTCCAAGGAAAAACAATGTCACTTAACAAAAATAGAGTTACGTTGTTTTTCCAAGGGACAGCCACCCACTCCCAACCCTCATTATGAGATTTGGTCTATGCTGAGCATCTTGACTGTATGTTCGTTATTGTGAAGGGATTAAGGTAGAGGTAGTCCTGTATTTATTATTGAAGGTAAGGGAATGAGCTGTTATCCCATCGTACTCAAGCCTTGGCATTGTGTGGTAGGGTGGCAGTTCCTTTCCACCGCATTTTTCGTCCCCAGTATACATGAAACCGCGTACCCATTTATACTCCTGGGTGGAGAAAGACAAATGTATGTACAGTATTAGTTCCTATAGAACACAAGAGAAATGCACAGCCAAGGGTCGAACCCCTGACCTCAAGGTTGAGAGATTGAAAGGCAACCACTTCACCAACCGCTCCCACTAGTTTGGAGTGAATTACCATGAACAGAGTTTTTGATTTTAGGAGAAATCTTTAATTTTACTGTTTATAGTTCTTGTGTCATTATAACCGCAGTAAAAAAAACAACTAATCTTTCATTTATGTTTGATTCAGACATCAATGAGTGTGCTAGCTCGCCTTGCTTGAATGGTGCTGTTTGCTTGGATGGTGTTAATGCTTTCTTCTGCCAGTGTGCGCCAGGCTGGACTGGTACAGTGTGTGGAACTAGTAAGTCAAAAAGATATAAGCTGTACAAAACTTGAAACATGTGTTTTACAGTTATAAAGTGAATATACTCTTGGTTTGTCTATCTTTGTACTGGATAAATTAGTATTTTCCAAATAATTATCACATAAATGTTCATTCCTAATTCTAATAAATATTAAACCATTATAACACAGTGTTCTATATAAGAAATTTTGGGTGAGGCTGGGAGAGGGGGTTGCAAATTCCACCTGTCCCCCTCTCCCCTATCATCTTATACAAAGTATAACATTTCTTTTCTTATACATAAACATACATACATATACAAAACATGAATATTCATAAAATGAGTGTCATCGACATCTAGTTTGCCAAGTGTTAAGTCGGGCTCTTAGAGGGAGTGGTGTAGATTTCTTGTACGACCGTCATACCGCAGTCGTACAACCATCGTACGACGATGCAGTGGGTGCCCGGATGTAGATGCTTACCACGGTCAGCTGTGTTCGAAAAATAGTATCAGCCACTGCCAGCCTATTTAGCAAATTTGACCATTTTTCCAAAGCTTGCGTACGTGATCAAATTGACATATATTATACACTAAAAGAACGACAAACATCTCACCTTTACACTGGTACCAAACACTTTATTCAAATCAGAATTCATAACCTTTAACAGTAAAATGAAATTGATTCACTTTTAGGGTTTTACGCATATTCACACAATGAAGCTGAGATAATCGCGTTTCAGTATCGCTATGCAATATGAAGTCACTGAGAATAGGTCACATTGAAATAGCGAAACATATGTGGTCCCAACTGATTTGAACACTTTAGAGATTTTCTAGAAATCCAGACATACCTCTATCATATAAAAAAAGAAAGCGAAAAAAATGGATTTGAAAGACGAAGATCTCTGTCTTTGGCTGTCGAAGTGTTAAAATGCAGTTTTTAAGTAAGAAATATATGATAATAGAAATGAATAGACCAGAGTGTTACTTTTTTTTATGACAATGTTTGATATATTTTCGATACATGTAATTACAGATATAGATGAATGTGCAAGCGTCCCATGTCAAAATAACGGCGTATGTGTTGATGGCGTGAATGGATACACGTGCCAATGTCCACCAGGTTGGAGTGGACTCTTCTGCCAGACAGGTAAGGATTTCAATCATAAGTGTCTGGGGCAAGCTTTATAGCACCTTTGTGGACAGTTTTTTTAAAACTTTATTGAGGTGTTTGGCATTATAAATAGGAATCCATGAAAAGAAAGATAAAAAAAAAGAAAAGAAAAGAAAAAAAAAAACCCCATAAGTACATCCTCATTCTTTTTTTACTTTTACTGTGATAATCACATTCAGGTTAATGATACTTCAAAAAATGCGATTTGATTGGACAAACGGTTAAGTCAGGGGTACCGTAAATTTCTGCTGTAATATCAAATGGCTCACTCGCCAATGGTTCCAGTGGTGGAACAAGTTTTTTTCGGTTAAAGGACTTCAAACCGTAGGCCCAGTCTAAATATTTGGCTCCTATGCACTTCTAAGAACCCAGTATATCCTTCGAGAAGGATAGGGGTTACCCCGGTGTACAAGTCCATTTAGTCCCCTGTCATTTAATGGATATGCCACGTGATTAAGTTCGTGCCTAAAGAATTTAATTGAAATAAAGTATTTGGAATTCTCAATTATCCAATAGTCCTATTATCATTTTCAGTTGTGCAAAGTCATATTGTTAATAGTGGATTAATTACTTAAATGTGTGATTGAGTCTAGCAGATAATTGCGTAATGTGTGTAATTACATACATAAATATACATGTTTTAATTTTTGGTTTTTTTTTTTTTCCCAGATGTGAACGAATGTGATCCAAACCAATGTGAGAATGGTGGAACCTGTAATGATGGTATCAACACATTCAGTTGCCAGTGTGTTGCAGGATGGACTGGAACTTTATGCCAAATAAGTAAGAATTTTTTAGTCCAAATCAAAGATTGGTTGGTCGGGGCTTGAAACTGACTAAAAAAATTGAATCTTTATGGTTTAAAGTGTGTTAGTTATAGCAGGGATAGATGATTTGAAAAGAATATAACATTTTTAAGGATTTTGTGATAGTTTCAGCTTGAGAAATGCCCAAAATCATAAACTTTGAAGGCCGATTTCTCATATATTGTTCTTTAAACAGCTGTATATGTAAACATTTGTAACTTCATAAGGAAATGTCTAATTTGAATGATTGTTAACCATTTTAAAGCTCTCATTTTACTCCTTCACCTTGTATTAATAACTCAAAATTGATTTTTGCGACGAGTGACTGGTTTGGCTTGTCTTTGCCACAAATATAAATTTAAAATCTAAATCTAAAGCAATTAATATTGTTTTATATACCTCATACTTCCACGAGACCTAAAAAAGTAATAAAAAGAGTACCCACCAAGTTGGCCTACGTGGTCAAAGTGCCAAGCAATCTCTCTCGTAGAGGTCGCAGTCTCCTTTAACATCCACGGGTGTCATAAATATCACAGCAAAGTGGGGCTTAAAGAATACATCACGATATAGCAAAAAAGTACTATCACTTAAAGTGATAGTATTTTTTTCCCGGGAATATATGAACTATTGATATTTAATCTACATCATAGAAGTGATGGCTGAAGTTATTACCTGATTTTTATAACAATCTGGGTCTTACTCAAGACAAGAAACTTTTTTCCTCTAGTGTAGATTCTCAATATTGGTATATACTTTTGAAGAAATAATTTACAGTATTGTTGTGTTAATTATGACCGCCATGTTGAAATGAAATAAATGTTGTTGGTATCAGATGCCTGGAATCTTATGTATGCAGTATATAAAAGAGGCGAAGCATTGCTTTGGTAGCAACAGAGTGTCATGAATTTTATACATTTTAATGGCTTTGCTTTTTTCAGATATTAATGAATGCGCCAGCTCGCCATGTATGAATAGTGGTACCTGTATTGATGGTGTCAATGCATTTGCATGTACTTGTGCCCCGGGCTGGTCCGGTACCGTGTGTGAAACAAGTGAGTATGGGCATGTGTCTGCTGAATAACCCCAAAAAATATGGTTTTTTTTAAAGATGTATTGTCCCGTGCTAAATATTAAAAAAAAAAAATCATAAAAATATATATATATATATATTTTTTTTAAAAATTAACTTGTCCATTTTGAAGTAAACATAAAAGTTATCAACTTGAACATAGAAATTAGTGTTTTTAAAAAATGTCTACCCATCAGTTTACAGTGAAAAATGATAGAAACACTTCCAGTTACTGAAAGTGTTTTATTATTTTTATTATAATTTCTTGGTTTAAAAATCAGGGTACACATCTTTCAAATTCAATAATTTCTATGCACAAGTTAATAATTTGTATGTTATTGCAAAATGAGCAAGTTTATTTCAAACTTATTTTTTATGATTTTTTTTACATTAGCAAGGGACAATACATCTTTAACGGTTAAATTCCTTCAGAATGCGTTTCTAGTGAAAAGTGCATAAAACAATACAGGAGCTTTTGGCTACCATTACTGATTTGTGTAATTTCTTATAGATATCAATGAATGCGCATCAAGTCCGTGTCAAAATGGCGGAACGTGTTTTGACTTGGTTAATAGTTACGTCTGTAGCTGCGAGGCTGGCTGGACTGGTTTACATTGCGAAATTAGTAAGTTAAATATACTGCAGATAACTATACATTTCTAAAACTCTGTAAACAAAAATAAATTTTTGTTATATTATGCCCCAGTATGTATGCATGGTAATGTCATATGCCCAATTATGGATATATCACATTTTGATAGTGTAGACATAGCTTTAGTAGGTTAATAAAGGTGGGTGGAGGGCCATGAAATTAGCTTTAGACCGGGTGGTAAAATTCAAGGCTCGGTGGCCCCACACACCATAACTACATCCCTGCGTTGAAATGGGCACCCAGTAAAAGCATTAATTTTTAAATATGTAGCACATTTGTAATTGAAAAAGGCAAATAGTGATAATAGACATAATCATCATCATCATCATCATCTTTTTCGGACTGTTGTCAGTTCACAGCTGTGAAAATTGTGTCAGATGATAGATAGATAGTACATATGAACATATGCAATCTAAATATACTTTATAATTTTTTTTTGATCTGGGGTCCCAAGTTTTCCTGTAAGTCATTCAAGTTTCTCAGAAATCCTCCCGCACTCCTGCAAGTAGACAAGAATTTCCAGGAAATATAAGCCATCTTTTCACAAATTCATTAAATGTGTGTTTTTTTATTACTTTATTACTATATAGTAACATTTTGTCTCACGGAATTCAATATCCATTGAAATTTTATGTGCTAAGGCAGCTTATTGAAACAGATACCCCAGAAATGACCCCAGACAACTAAATTATTGATTTTCTACAAATGTAAAGTTGTGACTTCTTATAATAGCACAGGTTTCGTGGGAACAATTGTTAAATACATATTTATTTGTTTACAGACATAAATGAGTGCGCCAGTGGCCCATGTCAGAACGGCGGTACTTGCAATGATGGAGTTAATGGCTACAGCTGTGCCTGTCCCTCAGGATGGACTGGTACAGTCTGCACGATAGGTAATCTACTATAATCCTTTCCATCCTTATTTTTTTTTTCTTTTATCGTTACTGTTTTTTTTTTATTATTTATTGTGTTTTTTAGTTGGAATTGTTATGCCTCTTGTTATTGTTAATTATTATTATTTTTTTTTATTGTCGTTACTAATATTGTCGTTAATATTATTACTACTTTTTTATTATTATTATTATTATTACTATTATTATTATTATTATTATTATTATTATTATTATTATTATTATTATTAATATTAATATTATTGTCACTTTGATCACTTTTGTTTCTTGTAGTTTCTTTCCCCCAAATATTGTTTACCTTGAATGAAATTTTCTGTTAATTGTTTTATGTTCCAAAGGAAAAAGAAACTTTGATTTTATTTGCATCTGTTATGGTTCTGGTTAGATAAGGATATTTCATGTTTTATATTTATATTTACTCTCTTGTGGACATCATTTTCAATTTTCGGGTCTAAAGTCTTGTTTTAACCAACCTGAATTTTATTCTAGTTGGTTGCCATTTATTACAATTTTTGGAATGGCTAGTTACTATTATTATTAATGAATGTAAAATATATAATTTTAAATACTGCAATATCTTTTGACTGAATCCGCGAATGGTTAATTAATTTTGTCCTTTATTTAATATTTTTATTATCCAACAAGATACAAATATAATGAAAATATTTGCTTTATTAATAATATTTTCAAGCAAAATAAATTCATGACCATCACAACACTAAAAATACAAGTAAATTATAAAAATGCTATTGTTTTTTGAACACATAAGAATAATGCAATATGAAATCAAATTTTCATAGATGTGGCAAAGACAAGCCAATCCAGTCACTCATTGTAAATCCTGTTTCAGAGATAATGGCCAAAACATGATTGAATGTCAACATTTTTGAAATCTATTAGATTGCACTAAACAATAACCTTAATTTATTAAATATATTAGTCATTTTTTATGTTTGTTACCAACACTTCTTCTTTCGTGATACATTACATGTTTCTTTTTAATTAACATTATTTTAATTATCTGTTTTGATTGACTAATATACCAAGATGTAATCATTTCTTTCACTAATTATTGGGCTTATTGAGAATATAATATGATATTGTTGTCATTTGCTTTTATTTGTAGATGTGATTGAGTGTTCCAGCAGCCCGTGCATGAACGGAGGAACCTGCGTTGAGGGAAGTAATTCCTACACATGTTCTTGCCTACCAGGATGGACGGGGGTACACTGTGAAACTAGTAAGAATGCATTTTTAATGCAGCCGTCCCATCGAATAATAACGTAACTGCTTTTTATGTTTTTTTAAAGTTGCGTTGTTTTGCCTTGGAACAGCCATATGTAGCTAATAAGATCTTATAATAAGTAGTAAAACTTTATTCATGAAGCACAAATCAACAAATACAATGCTGTTTTTCATTATGGCCGTGAGATACCTTAATAATAACAAGATATTGTTCTCCGCAATTTTTGTGCTTGCAAATTCTGTAATATTGCAGTGCCCTCTTGCAACCATGATTACTTTTCAAATTTGACATCAATGATCTTTAACTAAAGATAGTGCATCTCGCGATTTCTGCATGAAAATTCTGTAACAACCATGGTAACAAGTATGACTTCTAAAAAATGATTACTTTTTACTTAACATTGACGTTCCTATTTGTTATGCATAAACGCGAAGAGCGCTATGTTGTAATTTTATGATCTTTAATATGTAGTCACTGTATTTATTGTACAGTACTGCCCAATTTACTAGACGAACCACCCCTCGATGTATGCCTTTGTGGGTTAAACTTGGTTTTAACTCCAGACTTGAATTTTCCTGATGTGGGGCCGAGTTGACTTAAGGTGGAATTGATGTGGGGCCGATTTTACTTGGGGTCTATTTGACTGGGACTAAGTGGTTGTGGGATGGAGTTGACTTAAGGCCGACGTGGGCCCAAGTTTTTAGGAGCGAGTTTATTTGGGGCACAGTTGATTGAGTTGAGTTGTCTGAGGCGTAGTTAACCTGTTTTATATAATTTATTTTATTTTATGTTAGAGGGAAAATACATTTTGTGTTGAACTAATTAAAGCTCATGGTAGTCCTTTTTCACACACCTCATAGGATCCATTTTTTAATATTTTAATAGAAATTAATTTAATTTTCATTTTTTCTGTTTTTAACAGATGTTGATGAGTGTAATCCAAACCCTTGTCAGAATAATGCTCCATGTACTGATGGCATCAACAACTTTGTCTGCTCCTGTCTACCAGGCTGGACAGGCATTCTCTGCGAAACAAGTGAGCTTACAATTTATTCATTATTATTATTATTATTATTATTATTATTATTATTATTATTATTATCATTATTATTATTATTATTATTATTACTACTATTATAATTATTGTTAGTAGTAGTGGTAGTAGTAATAATATATAGTCACATCTTGGCTATATATGGGTATACAACAGTTTCTTTGTCAGAGAAAATTTAATAGTGTGGACATGAGCTTTTATGTTTGAGTTGATAATCTTATTCAGATGACCCAATATATGATTCTTCTATTAATACAATTTGATCTATTTTTAGATATTAATGAGTGTGCGTCAACTCCATGTTTTAATGGCGGAACATGTGCTGATGGCGTTAACTTCTACACATGTAGCTGCGTAGCTGGGTATACCGGTCTCAACTGTCAAACCAGTAAGTGAATAATGTACCCTTGCAAACTCTCACGCATAATGGGTGAGTGTCATGCATGAGCATCTATTTTTACGTTGTATTATCTCGCGTCATTAAAATGTGAATATTGGCCATACAAACTTATTTTCACGAGCTTTACCGACCGACAAATATAATCAGTAGCAGTTTGATCACTACAATTTTTTAAAAATATAGAGGCCGTACTGTTTTGTAGTGTTTACATAGAGGGCGCTATACACAAA